ACCAAACTTGACAAGGGATGACGGAAATTCGTTCCAAAATAAATTAATTAAAATTGTTTGAATTTCTTTTGAAAGGTTTTAAGCACCGAGAACAAAGGCAGAGCGAATACGTTTTCGATGTTTGCATTATGAGAGTAAAAGATGAACTGACGAAATGTATGAATTGCGTTTTGAAAGTGCTACGCGTTCATTATTTATTTACGGTATTGCGATCTGCCATTCAGATTTTAAAATTTCATCAATACTGCATGCTACACCGTCAATGAATATCGCGATACTTGTATCACGTCAATAAATACTGACCGTGTGGCAGGGCCCTTAAAGGAAAATTTCGACATGTTTCCCAAACCGCTTGTGTGGTGTTGGTGTATTTGCCTCTTTAAATTCGTGTATACACAATGTGAGCGTTCGGAAAAGACAACGAAAAGTGGAAGCGAAATCGACTGGAATGCACTACCGGAAGTATAGGGTGATAAACACTGGTTTCACCCTGTTGCATTTGGTCCCAACCCATATATTAGAGTTCCAGTCCATTTTCGATTATTCTTTTCTTGTGCTTGTGGAGAGTAGGTGGACGTGTACGTGTTTGCGTTTTATTAAGAAAATTTAATTTGAAGCATATTTTAATTGCATAACTTAGTAGCAAAAACATTGAAAAGGCAATTTTTGCATTGAACATAGAGGAAGGTAAGTTCTTGATGCAAAATATATCCTATTTTTAAGTTTTAAAGCCTTTGAAATGGTACTAATTATATGCAAGTCGTGCACTTCATGTCCGCCATTTTGTTTTTTCTGTACATGGAGAAAATTCCACGCCTTCATTTTATTTGGTGAAAAAATTGGTTATGCATATCTTTTATTTCTAGTATTTTCGTTAAATATCGGATTAGAGTCACATAAATATCATATATCAAATATGCCGCGCTATCGAGAGTGGGACTTGGCATGCAAAGTATACGTTGGTAATTTAGGTTCATCTGCTTCAAAATATGAAATTGAAAATGCCTTTAGCAAATATGGCCCGCTGAGAAATGTCTGGGTAGCGAGAAACCCACCTGGATTTGCTTTTGTTGAATTCGAAGATCGCCGCGATGCGGAGGATGCAACTCGAGGTTTGGATGGAACGTAAGTAGTCATATAAAAATAGGACACACCCATTTTATTTCAATTTATGGTATTACAATTAATGATTATGCATGTACATATATATGTTGCAGACGGTGCTGTGGTACTCGTATCCGTGTGGAAATGTCGTCGGGTCGGTCACGACGTGATGATAGACGCCGAGNGGAGGTCGCGGTGGTGGACGCTATAGGTAAGTACAAGACCGCAAAAAATTTGCTGCGCAAAATTATGGCTTTATTGATTTATATGGTGGCAAGCAATATTGGGAAAGTGCCTTGAGCGAGCCAAAATTTTCTTATGGAGGTTTAGTATGTACTAGTAGAAAGGCGTAATTTAATGATTGTTAGAAAATCTCTTGCAATGTGGTCGTAAAAAATGTCATTTATGTATGTATATGTAGTTGGTTACATGTATTGAAACGGATTGCGTATGATCATTTTTCTTATTCATTAACCAAATTGACTGATAATCCAGGAACGTGGAAAAAATTT